AGCTCCCCATTGACTTGCAGCAGCGCTGGTCTGGGTTGCCTTGAGTATGTGGGAATGGAACCACCGCTCAAAGAAACTGACTGCCTCCTTTAAGCAGGCACTTAAACAACTGAGCTAATGGGCAGGCCCCTCCTCCCCTCCTCTGTGGACCCAGCCATGGGCGCTGGAGCCCAACCTAGACTGCCACCCACCCCTGGGAGCAGCAAGCTGAGCCTACAGGACACTCAGGGTCTCCAGGCTGCAATGGCCACACTCTTCCCACCCTGGGCAGGTCTGCTACTGCTTCTAGGGAGCAGAGAGTAGGAGGGCAGCAAGGAACCATCACTGGAACACCAGGGCACCATGGCCAGACCCTCTCCATGCAGGACTAGACAGGGCCACTGCACCTGCCCCTGCACGCAGCCCAGGGCCACAATGCTGAACATGGCGCTTTTGGTTCCCCCACATGCAGACTGGAGCCCTTTGAAAGACAAGAGGAAACGGTCCTGCCATTTTCTCCGGCGTTCCTGGATGACAAACACCCCACCTGAGAGTTTCCCAGAGGAGGGGTGGATGCAAAGCTGCACAATGACAACAAAAGGAGACGTGGACTGAAAGGACCTGGGATGATGATAGGACTCCAAGCAATAGCGTCCCAACTCGAGATAGTGCCTACAGCCGGCACAGCAGTTACAAAGGCCCGTGGTTTCCCCACCGTCTTCCAAAGGGCCTATGAAAATGTCTTCTCCATGGGAGAACAGACTCCAGAGTGTCTGCTCTGGAGTGACAGCCCCTGAGGGGGCCATCCCAACCACCGGGCCCAAGGACCCCCACCTGAGCAGGGGTGAGGTGGAGAGGCTGGGAGAGGCTGAAAATGCCTCGCTGCTGGCTCTGTAGATGGAGCAGGGGTTGTGAACCAAGGGCTCCCGTGCCTACAGGAGCTGGACAGGGACTCTGGTTCTTCCTTGAGCCTCAGGGGGAGGAGGGGCAGCCCTGACTCAACCCGTGGAAGTGGCTTGGGGCTTCTCAGCTCTGCAGCTGTGAGAAAAAGTCTGTGTGACATCACAGCATCCCTGAAAGACCTGTGCCAGGCACCTCCCGCCTGAGGCATCCTCATTTGCAACAGCAGGGCAGGGGCTCCGCCCACAGGAGAAGCCAGGTGGGTGGGAGGGGCTGGTTCCCCCAGGCCCCTCAGCCTGCACAGCAGGGTAAGACAGTCCTGTCAGCTGGCATAGAAGAGGGACTGACAGTAAGGAGAGACGCAGCTACCTCCCCAGCTGGACAGTTCCACATGGACACCCCATGTCACCTGGATCGGGGCACTGTGGTGCCCTTCTCCTCCCTCAGTATCACCAGCTCTGGTGCAGCCCATTCTGGCCCACACCCTCTGAGCTGGAACAGCAGATGCTCTGGGATAGCTGGGGACAGGCAGGGCAAGCTAAGTCTCAATGCAGGAACCACTGCTAGCCCGAGGAGGGGCGGAGAGCCTGCTACAGCAGTGCCTGGCACTATCCTGCCCAGTGATGCTGCCTTGTGCCCTGGTACCAAGTCCACAGAAGATACCACGTGGGACCCACGTGTCAGGACATCCCCACACAGCCCTCGGCCTATGGCTCTGACAATGGGCACTCACCTCAGGGTTAGCCCTTGGATCAGCTCACTATCCAATCTGCATTGTGGACCCAGGGGCTGAAGCCATAGCCAGAGAAATATGACTTCAAGGCCATGGCCCCAGGGCGGCACAGGGTCCAACCACCACCACCTGGACCCCAGCACCCCGGCTCTGGCCAGCACAGCACTCACTCACCAGGACTTGGGCTCGCCGAAGTGCAGGTAGTTGATGCTATAGAGGTCCATGTCCTCCGTGTGCCAGGCAAAGGTGGTTTTCCACATGCCGAAGTATAGGTAAGGCGTGTTCACACCCTCGATGATGGTGCCACACTCCCGCTCTACCATGTCCAGGATAGTCCGCAGGCTCCCGATGTTCCACTGTGACACATCCTGAGGGTATGCAGGGAGACAAAGTGGGTTAACACAGCCACCACCCAGGACAGTCTCCCAGAGTACCCAGGGAAGAACAGGAAGACCTGGTCAGTCACCGCCAAGTTCCAGGCTGTGAACCAGGTGCTCAAGAGCCCAGGACCTGTTAGCCTGCTCACCAGAGTTCAAGCCACCAGGGCTAGTCACCAGCAGGCAGGACAACCAGGCACACTTGCCACACGCCTGCACCTTGGACCACCACAGAATCCTGCAAAGCACCATGTACCCACTGCGACAGAGTCCCCACACAGGGCAAGCCCCCATTGGTGCAGGGCCTGCTCCTCTGACAGCCCTTCCAGCACTTCCGTTCCAGGAGATGTGACAGTGATAGCTGGCAGACAAAGGGACCCAAACAGATCACTGATCCTTCCCACCATAAGCCAGCAAATCCATCAGGAGGGCTCCTAAAACCTACTAACCAACTCCAGGCCTGGGGCAACCAGAGCCTGCCAGCCTGCGGGACACTCAGGAACCTGGCCTACCCCAGCCAGCTGTCCAGGATCCCATGTCAAGGACCAGTGGCAAATGCGAGCAGAGCCCTGGCACAAGCCCAGAACACACAGAGGCAACAGCATCAGATCCCTCAAGATACATGTAAGAAGGCCAAGGTCCCCACAAGTAGGACCTGCCCAAGTTCAGGAAAGGGATATCAGAAACTGGTCAACCCCCCAACCTACAGGTAGGGCCAATCTGTCCCCCATCCATCTCACATGCTCACAGCACTGGCAGACAATGTTGTAAACAGAGAGAAGGAGACTTGGGCTGAATGTGACCCAGGACACTGATTTATCTTTTTTTATGGGTGGGGGGTAGATTTTAGGGAAGGGTCTACAGGGTGTTCAGGGTCTCACTACTAGATTGGACTCATAATAATTCTGCTGTTTACAGCTTCCCAAGAGCTGGGATTACAGGCGCACCACCACGCCCAGTCTCAATTGCGGTCTTGGCACGCCCCAGGGGCAGGGCCAGCATGGCAGGTCCAGGGTGAACTCCTGGCCCCTGAGCCTGCTTGCAGGGGCTTTAATCCACTAAGCTATTTGGCCAGCCTTATCTTATTTATTTTTTTTAAATTTTATTTATTTGTGTATGTGTGTGTGTGGCCAGCCCAGCCCACCAGGGGGCGGGGCTGGCCGGTATGTGGTGCTGGGGGATTGAACCATGGTCACTGGGCTTTGCTAAGCTTGTTCTAAGTAGGTGCTCCAGACCACTGAGCCATCTCACCAGCCCCTGATTTATCTTATGAGGAGGGCAAGATGTCTCTCTGCCATGCCTCGCTTTTGCCATCTGTTAAAAAAGTGCTGCACTCTGCTTAGGCAAATACAGGGGCTGGGGATTCCATCCCCTGCCTGCCATGCCAGTCCCACCCCTGTAGCATGCTGAGAATGGGTATGGTGTTGCACACCTGTAATCCCAACACTTGGGGGGCTGGAAAACAGGAGGATCACTATGAGTCTAATCTGTGTAGCAAGACCCTGTAGACTCCATACTAAATACATTTTTAAAAAGTACTGTACAATATAAGAAACGCACAGGTGAACCCCAACAGCCCCCAGCCTGTGGCAGGCACAGCTCACAGACCCTGGCCTCAGAGCTCTGAGGGTAGTGCGTGGCTGCAGATCCTTCCTGAAGCCAAGGCTGAGTGCAATTGGCAAGGGCAGCAGGTGCTCACAGACTGGGTTCTCAGCCGAGGGTGGCAGGACATGGCTGCAATTCCAGCACCCAGGAGGTCAAGGAGAATTGTTGAGTTGGAGACCAGCCTGGGCTACAAAGTGAGCTCAAGGCCAGCCTGAACTGCATAGTGAGACCCTGTCTCAAAAATAAAAAATAGGGGCTGGTGAGATGGCTCAGTGGTCTAAAGCGCCTACTTAGAACAAGCTTAGCAAAGCACAGGGACCGCGGTTTAATCCCTCAGCACGACATGCCGGCCAGCCCCGCCCCCTGGTGGGCTGAGCTGCCCCCCCACAAATAAATAAACAAAATAAATAAAAAAAAAATAAATACAAAATAAAAAATAAAAATAAAACAAAAAGTGAAAACAACAGAAGAGCCTTAAGGGACAAGAAGACAAGCCACAAGCTGGGGGAAATGGCTTGTGGCAGCACATCTGTTAAAGAGCCCTAACATACACAACAGGCTTTTGAGATGCAGAGGCAGAACACAGCCTCACTGAAAGTGGACTAAAGACCCAGGGGTGGGCAGGCCTGGTGAAATGCACCTGCCACACCAGCACTGGGGAGGCAGAGGAGCAAGACTCAGCTACTCAGTAAGATCAAGGCCAGCCCAAACTACAGAGCAAGCTCCTGCCTCAGCAACAACGCCTAAAACCAAAGCCTGGGAAGACAACAACAGATGGCCAAGAGCACACTAACAGGGCCACCTCACAAGCCACTGGGGACAGCACACTGATACAGCTCGGACACCACCACGCCCAGGCCAGGAGGCCAGGCAGCTATCGGGGCTGGCGAGCTGTGAACAACATGGCTGCTCTGGAGGCCAGCCACTGGTTCTGGCCCAGCTGACCCCGCCTGCACACCATCCAGTTCCTATGCACCTGCTGCCCCACCTCGGGTGGAGCACCTGCGCGGTCAGCCACGACCCCCAGTGGCATGGAAGGATGGACCCCAGCCAGACACAAGAAAATCTTCAGCAGATGCGAAATGAGCAGTGGCGCATGGATGAAAGGAAGTGGCCATCCAGCATGCAGGTGTGGAGGAAGGGTCCTTGCCCGTGAGGGGAACGCGCTGGGAAGAAGGCGCACACCACGTCACTCCTTGCTGCCCCAGTTCAAAAAGCAGGACCTCAGCAGGGCACATGGGGCTCTTAGGACAGTGAGCTCACCCCGCAGGCCACTGCAGTGGCAACACATGTCCCCTCTGTGTCCGAGCAGTCCACTGGCACAGCCACACGACCTGCTATAGCAAACCCCAGTGGGGGCCTGTGTGTGTCAGCGACAGGCCTATGTGGGGCTCCCCATGCTTTCTACCCCACTGTGCTGTGACCCTAAAGTCTTTGAAGATAAATAACTTTACTTTTTTAAACAAAAAAGTCAGTAATGATGCAGGAAGTCCACCTAGCATCAACACCACTCAACAGGGAAAGAAGTCTCTGCAGCCAACAGTGCTGCGACCACTGCTGTCCCCACGCAGAGAGCAAATGTGAGCGCTATCTCAGCAAGTGCCAGCTGGCACAGAACACGCACCTGGCACCCCAGCACCTGGGGTTGAGCGGGAGGACCACAAGGCCAAGTCCTGCCTGGACAACCTGGCAAGACCCTGTCTGAAAGCAAAAACTAAAATTGAGCTGCAGATAGAGTTTAGCACCAAGGCCCTGGGGTCAGCACCTAATACCCTGAAGAAAGGGGAGATAGGAGAGGGGAGAGGAGAGTGAGAGGGACTGGGCAAGGTAAGGAGGCAGAGAGGAAGAGGAGGAGGAAGGGATGAACCCAGGGATCACAGACAGAACTAGAACCACAGAACTAGAGCAGCTCTCCATGACCTGATTTGCTTTTGCTGTGTTTTGTTTGTTTTGAGACAGTGTTTCCTTGTCAGTCAAGGGTGGCCTTGAACTCCTATGTAGCCCAGGCAGGCCTTGCATGCACAGCAAGCCTCCTGCCTCAGACTTCTGAGTGCCAGGACTACTGGTGTGCTCTCCATAACTCTGGGTTGTTGATGAACACTTAGATATGACATCAAAAGCACAGCAATGAAAGGAAAAGAGCGTAAATTAGACTCTATCAAATCAAGATAGGGTGGGGAGTTCATGACCAAGAAAACAGACAAGCTCCAGAATGAGGAATGGGAGCAGATGTCTGTGCCTCTCCGACATGGGACTCGCCCTGGATGTATGAGGAGCCCTGATAACTCAAACAGCCTGCCAGATGCATGCCAGGGTCAGCAGGGGCCTCTCAGACAGCACAGGAAGATGGTCACTGTCACCAGCGGCAGGACAGCCCCAGACGCTGGCTCACATGCACCACGCAGACAGGAGGAGCAGAGCCTGCTGCCACTGGGGGGACAGGACGAGACATAGCGCAGCAGCTGCAGGCTCCCCCACAGCACCTGCTGCTGCCCACGGCTGCAAGCCACTCTCAGGCTAGCGGGCGAGAGATGCCAGGCATATGGGGCCGCACCATGCGGGCTCTCAGGACAAGTGAACTGGGGTTAGCCACGTGTGTAGGAAGCCAGGGACAGGCGCTGTGTCACCATAGGGCATGCTCTGTATCAGTGTCCCCAGTGCAGTGGTGACTCCTCCTAGCCCCACCCATACTCCCTCTGCCCCAGGGCTGTGGGACTCACGTCGTCATACAGGGAGCCGCTGATGTCAGCCCCATAAATGGGGGACACGAATGTGAGGTTCTTCCAGTACTTGCGCTCCAGGTCATCGAAGTCCTGGTGCCGTGGGGTGCAGTACCTGGGGATGGCACCCAACAACTCAGAGCAGTCCAGCATCCACACCCCAGGCTCCGAGGGACACGCTGCCTCAAGTGCATGGGTAGGGCCCCCTGGGGACCTAAGGGACCATCATGGGGCAGGCGAGTGTTTCATGGGGAAGGTCAAGTCCCAACACAAGGGGGGGCCTTCCCAAAAGGACACACCAGGCACCATCCTCATGGCCAACAAGACAGGAAACACAGGAAGACAGGGAGGAGGCCACAGAGAATGGAATATGTGACAGCTATGGCCCTGGACGCCATGGAGGAAGCTGTGAGTGGCACACAGGTGTGCCAGGGACCTTGTTTATAGAGCCACCAACTGACACCAAGGAGGGCGTGGGCTATGGGCAGGGCAGGGCGGGGCGGCGCACTTCTCGCTGTTGGCCAGCCGGCGGTACTCGCCCACAGTCATTGCCTTCTTCTGGATGTTGTACTGAGTGAAGAGCCCCGACTGGCCTGTCACCACCTGCTGGATGGGGGCTGGGATGACCACGTCATCGATATCGTCGTACGTCTGCCTCGGCTTCCACTCTTTCGGAGGGATGATCTGCAAGACAGGGAGCATCAGCAACAGCTCCAGCATGACAGGTCAGTGGGGCATTCTGTGAACCCTGCCCCTGGGCCCCAGGGCACAGCACTGTCTGGCGCCTGTGCCTGGTCCCTGCACCTGAGTGCAGGGACAAGCAGGACCCACAGGATCACAGCCAGTCGCAGGGCCCAGGAGCTGGAGATGAAGGGCCTGGCGCAGGAGGGTGGAGGGAGAAGGCAGGACATGAAGGGGAGGCCACAGAGACAGCAATGATTTCAACTGGACCAAACAGAGAAGCAGCAGGGTGGGGGTAGCACCTGCGCACAGTGAGGTGCTGGCCACGCTGGCTGGAGCCCTGCAGGGCATGGCAGGGGCCCGTGAAAGCCCAAGCCAACTCCCATGTCAGGACACAAGGAGAAGACAGCAGGAAGAAAAGAAGAGGGACAGCCACCTCTCACTCCTCCCAGGAGATGCTCAAAGCCCACACACACTCTGACACAGGCCACTGAGGAAAGATGATGCTGGGTCCTGGGCAGTGACGGCTGCAAGCTCCAGCCCTCCTGGGCCCCAGCCATGGGAGAAGGAGCCAAAGGCCTTACAGCGCATCAGCTCACTGGCAGGAAGTCCCACGTACACATAGAGGGAGGAAGGTCATGGGGACTCTGAGTTTGTGGACAGCTTTGGGAACAGTTGGAGCCATTTACTGTCCCCAAGGATGCCACGATCACAGCAGCAGAAGCCTCCATTTCAATGGCAACAAGTGCATTTCTAATGCTGGGTAGCATGTGGCTTCACGCACCGGCCCAGCCAGACACTGCCACAGGGCACCAGATCTCAGCCGAGAGCCAAACTCCTGGGGATGCCAGGTGACATCAGGATCACACATGCCTGTCACACTGGGGGAGCCCTGGCTTGAAGCAGGAGGCGATGAGGGATGCTGCTCAGCACCTACAGTGCCCCGGATGCCCACCCAACAACACTGGCCCTGTCTTGTGTCCCAGGACCCAACTTGGAGCTGCCAAGGGACACAAGCCAGCACCCTCTAAGGACCCCTCTGCCATGGCCAAGAAGCAAGAGATGCCTGGGTGCCCAAGCTGGTACAGGTCACAAGACAGGAGGGGTCAGCTGCCAGGATGAGGGTTTCCTGGATCTCTAGCAACATGCTGAAACATCCCACAAAACAGGCAAGCAGAGAACACAGGGGCAGCTAGCTGCATGCTGCTGGAGTCTGTGGCTCTGAGCTGCCTTTATCTCTGTTTTGGGAGACAAAGTCTCACTAATGTGGCAGGCTAGCAGCAAAACTGTGATCCTCCTGCCTCAGTCTCCCAAGGAACTAGAATGTCAGGCAGCTCCTGACTACTTCTGAGGCACCTGTGCCTCCTACATAGGGAGCCCCCAGCTGGTCAGGCCCTACCACAGGAGGCTGCTTCTCAGCCCTTTGCTACCCCACACACTGTACCCTGAATTCTCCACTCCTGAGAAAGCCTTGAGCCAGGCACTCAGGAGGCTGAAGCAGGAACACTGTAAACTCCAGCCTAGCTTAGGCAACTTAGTAAGACCTGGCTCAACAAAAGGAGGGCTGCTCCATCTGCTGTTCCCCTCTCTCAGGCACGGCTGTCACAGGCACTGAAATGAGCCAGGATGCTCCTCACACACTGGGGTGTCTGGCCCGCACCATAGCTGCACTGTCCCTGATAGGCCACACAGGTGTTGCAGGGTGCAGGGCTAAGCACCGCAACAAGAGAGGCTCAGGCATCTGATGCCACACTCAGCTGTCCCCTCTGCAGCGCTCCCAGAGTGTGTATTTCCACCAAGGCCGTAAGAACAGACAGGCCACATGTGCAGAGCCACCAAGGTAGATGCAGGCAGTGGCGAGGTTGGAGGAGCCAAGGCTCCCCGCCCAGCCCACTGGCTACGCACACATGCACAAGCCACACAACTCTGAGGAGGGCACCGGAAGCAGCTGATTCCCAACAGAACACACCCACCACCAGCACCAAGTGCATGGGTGCACCTGCACACACATACACACAGAGTACAGATGGCAACAGAACAGGTAGGGTGTGGAGAGCCAGCCAGAACTGCACTGGCTCTCCAAAGAGATTGGCGCCCCAGGAGCCAAGGCCCCGTCTGGAGGAGCAGAGGTGCCTGGGACCACAGCAGATGGTCCCCAGAAACCCATCTGTCCCCACAGAGCATCAGGAGGAGGGATGCATGTGGCGGCCACACGTGGGTGCCAACGTGTCTCTGCTCCTCTCCCCATATCTTCCTAGACCCCCAGCATTCTGTCCCATTCTCCTATTCCCACCACATCCAAAGTAGACTCCAAAGAGAAGGTGGCACCCAGGACATCCCCCCATCCCAAGGGCTTCCCGTGGACTCCAGTCTACCTAGAAGTGGGCTCCACAGGGTGGGAGGCTGAGGCAGAGGCGCAGGGGCTCTGGGGACATGAAGACAAAGGTGAAGGGGCTAAAGGGGGCGGGTAAGGAAGGCTGGGACATGGCAGAGGGAAACAGACTTCCAGGTTAGTGCCAGCTTCCCTCCTGGCACACCAGCCCTTTCTACCCTGGGGAGCCAGGCCTATGACAGAGCAAATCAAAACAGTCTGCCAGGAGGTGACCAGAGGAGCCATCAGGGGCACCAAAAGATGCCTCGAGAGAACAAGACAGTGCCAGGTGTTGGGTCACCACAGCTCTGGAGATCCAAAGGGGCTGCTGCATCAGGGGAGGAGGACAGAGTCAGGGATGGGGACATAGGCCAATGAGGGCAAAGATTATGGTGCCAAAGCAGAGATGCAGCCATGGGACCCACTGGCGCAGTGCTGTCCTATGACAGCAGACTGCAGCACAGGTGGGGAGAAGGCTGAAAATGGAGTGGGGCTGGGATGAGGCTTATGGGCAAGTGGGGGTGGGTGGGGGTGGCTGGGGCCCTGGGTTCCATATTCCCCATATCCTCCCTACTCCCGCTTATTCTCTTCATTTTTTTAATGGCTGCAGCAAGGAAATCAAAAGCTTATCCTGGAGCAAGGGAAAGCCAGATGAAATTCAGACTCCACATCCAGGAATAAGGTTTTACTGGCACAGCGTACCGCGCATGCTGTGCAGCTGTGGCGCAGCACTGGCAGGACCGGGGGAGCGGCGTCTGGGCAGCAGGGTTATGCGGGAGCAGGGAGCAAGCTGCAGAGCTCAGAGACACACAAGATTCAGCTGAGCTCTGAGCTGTCAGGGGAGCCGTGCCCCAAGGCTGAGGGACATTCGTGACACTGGTGTGTTTGCTTATGTTCCCACACTTGCACATTTGTGTACACACATACACTATCCTGGAAAGGCCAAAAAAGTGCTAGAGCTGCTTCAGAGCCAGCAGGGCACAGGAAGGTGCCTCATTCATCTCCCTCCCCCTCCTGTGTCACAGCATTGGGGAGGGCTGCAGCTCAGGGCCCAAGGTGGCTCAGGTCTGTCTCCACGCTGGACAGACTCACAGCGCCCTTCTCATAGGATGGAGCAGGATGTCACCCACCTTGGCCAGGCCTGCTCGGTGGGCTCCCTGAGATTCTATGTAGGCCACGTATTTATTGAAGTCCTTAAATTCTTCCATAGTTGGGCGAAAAGTCATGATTTTGCAACTGGGGTTCTGGGCCCCGTGGTCCTCAGACCCCATGGCTGCTGCTGCTGCTGCGTGGGCACCACACCTGCAGGGAGAGAAGAGAGGGTGAGCTCTCGGCACTGCCCCGCCACCCCAGACAGTGCTCCCTCTGAGGGCTAAAAATACCCACGGCCGTGGGAACATAGACGCCTGGCCCCAGCACCCGTGAAGGCGAGAGGGAACTGCGAGCCACTTCTGCACGCACACACGGCAGGATGACGCTGGCTAATTAAAAGCAGAGGTGTCCTACTTTTGAAAGCCAAGGCGATGCAGGAAGCCAGTGCGCTCATTTTAATGGCAGCCTCAGAAATAAAAGCTGTCACTGTCAGGGACGTGTCCTCAATACTGGCCTGGGCTTCAAAATCAAACCACACACTTCTGATATGCACTCGAGAACACAGCCCTGGGTGTGTGCCCAGAGGTGAGAGACTGGGTATGAAAGAGGATCGCAGTGGCAAATGCCTGCCATCCCAGCACTCTGGGTGGCTGAGGCAGGAAGACTGCAAGTTGAAGCCCAGCCCGGGCAGCTCACTCAGTGAGCCCTGGCGGATGTAGCTCAGTAAGGAGCACGGATCCTTTCAGGGGAAGGCCCCAGGGCTTGAAAAAGGAAGGGCAGACAGGCTCAACGGAGTCCAGGCCCAGAGCAGGTGCTCCCACAGGAGGCACAAAGGCCGGGGGAAGGGCTCAATCCCTGCCATCAGAAACACTCTGGTTCCTCAGCTACACATACACCTGTGCTGGGCACAGGACAACACACTGTCTTACTCCACCCAGATTCGCCAGCACCAGGCCAATGTCTCATCAGAAAGAATATGTTGGAGCCGCTCCCTCTTAACCCTGGCAGTACCACTCAACCTGTGAGGGTTTGGGCCACCATCTGGAGAAGGCCCTCCTTGGCCAGGAGACGCCTATGACTCTGCAGTCCTCTGGCTGGGAACCCCCAGCTCCCACCTGCTCCCTGACCCTTCACAAGAGTCTGAGGTAAGAGAAACTCCAGGGCCCGGATGTACAAATCCGAGAACACAAGAAGGCCAGCAGCATATGCTCTGACCTGCCCCCCCCCCCCCCCCCCCCCCCCCCAGGGCAGGGCCCCACCTGGCTGTGGCCCTGTCACCACCTGCAGCTCCCCTAGGCAGCACTAGAGGGCAGCACATACCCAGGAATTCCATGCAAGCAGCACTTGGAAGCCCAGTTCAAGCAGAAACAGGATCTCTGGGGATACCCTGCTCCCCCAACACCTGCCCTCTGTCCACCCAGGTGCCCTTGCCCACTGGAACTCAGCACTGGGGTCAGTGGCCAAGGACCCACCCTGAGCTGGTTAGACTCTGGTGAAGTGCTACCAGTGGGGACACTCCCGTCGGCACCATGGCCCTGGCTGTGTGCAAAAACCTCAAGCTTCCAGAGAAGCTGAGGTGCTGCCAGCCAGACCACACATGAGCCATGAACAGCAGGCCTAAGATTGGGGCTGTCATGAACACCCCTCCAGGGAACAGGTACAGCCATCTATCCACCTAGCAGCCCACATCAGAACAGGAATCTCAGCTGGCCCCAAGACCCAACTCCCTGCATATGACTCTGCAATCCTCTAGCTGGGAACCCCCAGCTCCCACCTGCCCACCCCACCCCTGACATGCAATCCACACAGGGCCTTTCCAGGCTGATGTGGCTTTGGGCCAGACATGACTTCCGGGAATGTCCTTGGGGAGCTGGGATCTAGTAGGAACAGGACCTTGACAGGGACATTGGCATCACCATGGAGCTAGCACACTGTGCACCTGGCAGATAAGGCCTGACAGTCCTCCTATGGCACAGGGCACCTGCCACAGCGACACACCATGTCCATCCATGCTGTAGGCACCAGGACAGAGAGCTCCATATGCACACATGGGGAGGGGCACCCCGGAAGTGGACTGTGCATGGCTTGGTTTTGCTCTGGATTATTTGTACTCTTTTTTTTTTTTTTTTTTTTTTTTTTTTTTTTTTTTTTA